CCCCCTCCTCCGCCCCCTTCCCCGCCCCACTCCCAGCTCCCATCCCTGATCCCTGGCTGCTGCCCTCTCCTGGAGCCGCGCCCTCCCGACATGAGCCTTGCAGCAGCTGCTCTGCTCCGCTGCGCCCTGCCCCTGCTGCTGGGGGGCTTGGCCCTCGGGCTGGGGGGATCCCCCAGGGAGGAAGGGGTCAGCGGGAGCCCAGCTGGACAGCAGCAGGAGCTGCCCACCGTGGTGATCGCCATCCTGGCCCGCAACTCGGAGCACTCGTTGCCCCATTATCTGGGGGCTCTGGAGCGCTTGGACTACCCCAAGGAGCGCATCTCCATCTGGTAAGGACAGCTCCCACTCCTGGCCCTTGCGGAGGGGCATTAGCGCAGAGGGACCTGGGGGGATGCCAGGGTGAGGCAGGGCAGCAAACACACAGGGGGTGGAGCTGGGCATAGGCATAGGGGACAGGGAACATGCTCTTGCAGGATGGGTGCAACAAAGCGGAGAGGGCTGTTTTCCCACTCCCTAACAGCAGCTCTTTCTCTCCCCTGTCCCCTCTCTGTAGGGAGGTGGGGTAGGTGGCTGCCAGGGTGGGAAAAGACCCCTGAGCCCCCCACTAAGTTCCAGGCACTGTGGACAGGAGGCACAGCAGAGCAGAGGGCAGCCCTAAGTCTTCGAAAGGACATTTTTCCCCTCATCTGAAGGGGTTTCTCCCACCCAGCACATGGCCGTTCTCCTCCCGGCCCCTACCTCCCAAGGGCTCAGCGCCTTGGCAGAGCCCCTCTGGGGTTCAGTGAGATGCTGGTGCCTGGAGCCGGGATTCCTGTTCCATCTGCTCCTCACAGCCACTGCAGACACATTTTACAGCCTCTTGCCTGAGCTTGTAGGAAACATTACCCCCATGGCATAATGCTTTTAAAGAGCATCTGATTTGTTTGCCATCTGTGCGTCTGTTTGCAGCTGACATGCCTGGCTGGAGATCTCGAGCCTAGGTGGGAGCCAGCAGTCCAGGCTGCTGTGTGCGCTGCACTGGCTGCCTGCTCACCTCTTACAGTTTTCTGGTTCAGATACTCAACATTTCTCATGGAATTTGTGTCTCCGTTTCCGGGATCCCCCGCATCGTGGCACAGAGCAACGGAGGGAAGGAGGGAGGGAGCCTCTCGCAGCAGTGGGTGCTGTCGGGAGTGGGGTAGAAGCATGGGCTGGGGAGAGCTCTCAGTTACCTTCGATCCAGCCTGACCAAGCAGGAGTTGCTCCAGACGTTGCCCCTTGGGGAGCTGCTTCAGCCCCTGTCCCATCAGGGGCCACAGCAGAGAATGGGGTCATATGCAGCCCAGCTTTGCTGATTCAGCCAAACTACTCTTTCCATCTGATGTGGCATTCTTTAATGGCAGCACTGCTGGGGGTCTCTGTGATATGTTGCCACTGAAAGCATTATCAATGTGAGGTCCCCATTCATCTCCCGGGGCCAGGCATGTGTGTGGCAGTTCTGTGAGCTCCCATGGCTGCGCTGGTGGATTGGGGGCTGGGATCTTGGGGTGCTGGATGCTGGATCACTCCTGGAACTGGGAGAGACAGATACTTTTATCTGGATCCCAGAAGCTACATGCACCATTTTCAGCTGAAACAGGATGCCCTGCTGAGCTCTTTCCAGCCAACACGGTCGTGGGCCTGGCACCAGGGGGAGGCACAGAGCAAAATGAGGGAAAGGAGACTGGAGGTAGTCTGTGCATCAGCCAGTTCTGTCTGGGACTTGAACAGCAATCTGCAGCCCACTGGGTGTAGGATCCCTTCTTCTAGCTCAGTGTTGCAGTGTTTGCTGTCACCCAGGGCTGCATGGTTCAGAGGGTCCGTGCTTCTCCCTCTGCGTGTGTTGGGATCTGGTGACGCCCTGCAGGCCGGAAGGTCCAGTGTGCATTTGCAGAGACCGTACACACATGTGCTTACGTGTCTCTCCAGACCACATGCAAGCGGATGGAAGTGGGCGGGTTCTGGTGGGGAGAAAGCAGACAGATAGGGACAGAAAAGTGAAAGTGTGCGATCGGCTAATGCCATGTTAGGAAGAATCGGGCCTGAAGACAAATGAGCCTGTGGCTGTCCTGGCACAGTGAGGTCAGCTCGTGACCTCCGTAACCCAGCCAGCAGGGCTGCAATTGGGCAGAAGCAATCCCTGTGCAATCCCCCTCCTGGCAGCAGAATCTCGATTGTTTAAAATTACATGTTCGATTTCCAGCTAGTTCCCACTGCCTCTGCCTGCTGCTGTCAGCCTCTCGGCTTGGCACGTATGTGTATAGCCCAGGGCCAGAGCCATGTGAGAGGTTTGTGCTTGTCTTCTGAAGTGGCAGCATCCTGCCTTAGCTGTGGGCAAAGTCTGGAAGGTTGTTTAGCTCTTCTGTGCCTGGGTATAAACATTTTGTTCTAAATTTATCCTTGACATCAGTAGTTACATTGGCGGTACACTTGGCCTGGTATGACGGTGTTTGACAGCACGCAAACAAGTGTGTTACTTTTGACTTGTAAAGGTCTCGGTGCCTTTTACAGAGAGGGTATCATCCTCATTGTACAGGCCGGGGGAGTAAAGGCACTCAGAGGTTAAATGCCGTGTCCCTGGGGCGGGCATGAGAACCCAGCTGTGTTGACTGCTTCCCCCCTGCCCCCACTGAGTAGTTTTGGACGAGTGCCCCGATGTGCTTATAATAAAGCAGAGCTGAGAACCAGTTCCTCAGCCAGGGCAGCATTTCTCAGCAGGGCATTGTCCACAGACTGCAGGACAGGCAGACAGGTTTGGCAGTGCCCTGAAGGCATCTCCTCCTAGGAACATGGGAGCAGAGGGGGCCTTCTGGGCCACAGAGTCTTCTTCCCGTACCTTGTCTTTACTGTCCAATGATTTCCAGGCTACTGCTGCACATGCATGCTGGGTGGGGGTCTCAGTCAGTCCCAGGATGATGTCCCCCTCTGAGCACGAACACTTTATCTGCCTCTTCATGAGAATATGCACAGTTACATTAGATGGCTTAAGACAGCACGTGATTTAAACCTGCCTTGTGCAGGGCAGAAACCAACCACACTTGGATGGGGGGCAGGAGGAAGCTTCCCCCGTGGACTGGTGGTTAATTACCTCTTCCATAAAGCATGTGGCACTGCCTGCCTTCAGGAACTGGACATGGACTTGCCTGCCCTTTGGTCTGATCTCGGCTGGTACTACATACTGTCAAGGGCTCCATCCTCATCCCACACCCCATCACACTTGCGTGAGACACCCACGTTCAGTTTTGTTCATTTGGCCCTGCACCCTACTTGGCATCCTTGATCATACAGTACCTCTCCACTGCTGTCCGGAGATGCAGGCTTTAGGTGGGAGGGAGTTATACAGTTGTGCTTGGGGAGGGAGCACTCCTTGGTGACTACTACTGCAGCTTCATTCCAGTTTCATAGGACTGGGAGCCCCATTGCTGAGTTTGGACAAGGGACTGAGAGACTTGAGCTGCAGGGGGGTGATGGGGAAAAGGAAAGGAGCCAACATCTCCTCTGCACTCTGGTTTCTCAGGTGTGTGACAGATCACAACATAGACAACACGACAGAGATCCTGAGGGAGTGGCTGGTGGCCACGGAGAAGCACTACCGCCATGTCAAGTGGAGGGCAGTGGAGGAGCCCAGGTGAGGCACAAGGCTGCCAGAGGCCTTGCATCAGCGATGGTTTCTAGCAGAGCATCTTTTGTGGTCTGTCTCAAGGACAGGGAAACTGAGGCATGGAGTTGGCAAGTGATTCATCCAAGGCTGTGAGGGAGTCGGTCAGAGTTGGAACAAAACCCAAGAATCCCTGGCCCCCTCCTGGTGCTCTGCTCCAGACCTCCCCACTGCAATTTCCTTCCATGTACCTTTGTGCTTTGAGCTGTGGATTTGGGGCATGGCACTCCTTGTGCAGAAATGCGTATGTCAGCCCCTTCCACCCCGCAGTGCTTCTGACCCAGGGCGCACAGATATTTTATACCAGGTGAGCTGGGCATGGTTCTCTTCTAGGACCTTGCCAGGATCACAAGCTGTTTGGTGGCACAAGGAAGCAGGCGTGTGCAGATGCCTAAGCTGACTGCACAGAGAGCTCCCCCAGGGCGAGAGACATGCATGCACAGATGGAGCGAGGGGCCCTGCACACAGATGCAGACAGGGAGGGTCTGTTTCTCTCCAGCGTCCTGGCTTGGAATGTGCTGGGGTAGCGGCCTGCTCCCGATCCAGTCCCAAGCCAACATCACTAAGGCAGTGTCATGTTTCTCCCATCCCCACAAGAGACTGTTCAGGCAGCACTGATCCACCCTGCACACAGGGGCAGCGAGCAGAATGTGCCAGCGCAGGTTGGGCTGACCGTGGGGAGTGTGACCTGGATGGGCCCACCCCCGGCTTCCTCAAAGCTAAGCAAGCCCAGCTTTAATGTGGGCTTTGGGTCCAGGCCAAACTACCCTGCCCCAGGCTAAGCTGACACAGCTCTCAGGCAGGCTTCTTCATCTAGTGTGTATGTTTGTAGCCTGAGGCAGGCTAGTATCTCTTTGTTTGCCTGCTGCAGCTCATACCCCAATGAACTGGGCCCCAAGCACTGGACAAATGAGCGCTACGAAAACCTCATGAAGCTGAAACAGGAGGCTCTGAGCTTTGCGCGGGAGCAGTGGGCTGACTACATTCTGGTAAGAGCTTGGAAACTGAGCCAAGCGGGACCCTCCCTGGCAGCCAAGCCTGGGGAGCCAGACCAGTTTGGGAAGCTGGAAATGGGGAAGTCCTCCTGGTTTGTCCTGCTGGGCCAGGGCAACATGCCTGTCAGCGGCTGAGTCTCAGGCTGCACTCTCCACCATTTAAAGGACTTAATAATAGAGCTTGTCTTCTTCCTCCTAGCTCAAGCTTTATGGTTTGGGCTGGGGTCTCCAGAGATCACCTCATTCCCCTTGTGCTCTGCTAGCCCATGTCAGCATGTCTGCGAGTGCAGCCTGGATAACTCCATGTGTTTCACTCCCTGGGTGAAGGGTAGTTGTGAAGGATGCAGAAAAACACTGAAGATGCCTGGGGTGGCCTGGAGCTCTGACTGCCATAGCAGGGCATCACAGTGTGGGAGCACTTCCTGCTGGAGGCTGTAGGGAACCAGCCCCTGCCGAGGTGTTTTCTATCTGTGGGGCATTGTCGTGGGTCTGGTGGACACAGGGCCAGCTTTCAGTGCACCGCTCCTTCTAAGCCAGCTGTATTTCCACCCCTAGTTTGCAGATACTGACAGTGTCCTGACAAACAACCAGACCCTGAAGTTCTTGATCGCCCAGAACAAATCGGTGATTGCACCGATGCTGGACTCCCAGACCTACTACTCCAACTTCTGGTGTGGGATAACCCCTCAGGTGAGCTGCTGGAGCAGGCCGGGGCACCCCCTGTGCCGGGGCGGGGGGTGTCCTGTCACTCAGCCCAGCTGCTGCTGTGGCTCATGCCCAAGAGGCTTATGTCCCCCAAGGGGTGCCACAGTCCTGTGGTTCTAGGTGCAGCTGGGATGGGCAGGGGGGAAGGTTTCCTCTCCCTTCACCACAGCCAAGAGATGTCTCTGACCCAAGGGCCAAATCCTGAGGTGCTGGCTCAATCTGTGCTCTGTCTTTCCTCACACCAAGCTTCCTCTGAGGTCACAGATTACTTGCCTGAAGAGGAAAGGCAGGGTTGGGCCACAGCTGTGGATCCATCACACCTGTCAAGGTGGTGCTTAGGTGCTTGGTCTGAGGCTGGTGGCTGCTTCGAGAGGGTGATGTGTGGAGCCCCTCTGCAAGCACTTCCTCGGCCCTGTTGGGAGCCCCTTTTGCCCCAGGGGGCTACCAAGCCCAGGGGCTCATAGCCAAGTCAGTAAGTCAGCTCCAGGCTGCTTCTCAACCTAGAATTTCCAGAGTGTATTATCAGGCAGCTGCCGATTCACCGCTGGCTCTCCTATCTCCTAAAATTGCTCAGTGGAATCGAACACAGCCTGTCTCTGCTGTATGGCTCCCGGTCTGCTACAGGCCCTGGAGCCCAGTCAGGGACAGGGAAGACACCTTTCCTTCCTTCTTGGGCCCAGCTGGTGCTTACCTGTATGGTAGACCATGTGCTGGGCTCAACCAGGCAGGAGAGTCTCCTCTGAGTGCTTCACATCTTGGGTGACAGAGGGGGCAAGGTAGGGCCAGGAAAACTTAGAAAGGCACAGAGCCCTGGGGGAACTGCTCTCTCTGCTAGACCTCAATGCCATGGGCTGTGCACCGCTGCTAAGTGGGTCTCTGCACTAGTTGCTTTCTGCCTGGGGGGGCATTGCAGAGGGCAGCCTCAGTGCTGGGTGTGCAGGGGATAGCAGGCTACTGTGGAGGATGGCAGGTCCTGCTTGCTCTGTCCTGGCACCCCTCGTAGTCTGGTCAGTGGGAGTTACGGGATGGCATGTGCTCCACAGGGTTACTACCGCAGGACAGCGGACTACTTCCCCACCAAGAACCGCCAGCGCCTGGGCTGCTTTGCCGTGCCCATGGTGTACGCCACCTTCCTGATCGACCTGCGGAAAGACGGCACCGCCAAGCTTGCCTTCCACCCACCCCATCCCAACTACACCTGGGCCTTTGATGACATCATCGTCTTTGCCTACTCCTGCCAAGCAGCGGGTGAGTGCTGGAGAACAGGGCAGACAGCTCGAGAGGGAAAGGGCTAGGGCTCAGCAGCCACCTGTGTTCGCTCTGGGTGTATCTTGCACCCAGGGGCTGCTTCACAGTTTGCTACACAACTCAAGTTGGCCCCTTTGTTATGCTGGATGAACGCGAGATAGAAGGTTCCTCAAGGAACCTCCGCCTGCCTCACTTTCTCAAATGGCCCCTCTGCCCAAGGTGGGGTCATGGGTAGAGGACAGGAAGGGGAGCTTGGAGAAGTAGTGAGATCCTGGGCACTAGGGAGGGAGGGAAGGTGGGTGTAGGGAGCTTTTGGGTAGGAATCAGGTGCAGGTGCTGGAGCTGCGCAGCCCTAAGGTTACCTCCTGTCTCCTGCTGCCTTGCAGACATTGAGGTGTATGTGTGCAACCAGGAGCGGTTTGGCTACATCAATGTCCCAGTGAAGTCTCATCAGACGCTGGAGGATGAACGCATCAACTTTGTGCACCTCATCCAGGAAGCCATGGGTAAGAGCACCAGGAATGAGCCCTGCTGCATGGAGAATGCAGGGGGTTGTGCAGGTCTTCCACCTGGGATTCCTCACCTGGCATCTGGATGTGAACAGGTGCAGCTCACCCAGACAAATGGCTCCCCAGCTCTGGTCTCTGAGGAAGCAGTAGGTGAGGGTGCTCATTGTATGTAGGCCAACTGGGCATGATGTTCATGGCAGTTCAGCCCTGTGCTCTGTCTCTTGCAGTGGATGGTCCCCCAATGTCCCGCTCCGATCATATTTACACGAGACCCAAGCTCCTCAGTAAAATGGGCTTTGATGAGGTATGTTTCTGGGATGCAGGGAGAGAACGTATGTTTTTCTTTATGATTCTCTTCTCCATGCAGCTGCTGGTGTCCCTCCACCTCCCTGTGGCTTCTGGAGTCTCTCAGTACTGGGCTGACTGGAGGAGACACTAAGGGGTGATGCGAGGTGCCCCCACCCCTGGTGAATTGTTCTGTCCCTGTGGCCTCTGTTGAGAGGAGGACACCCTCTGCATGGCAGCCCATGGCCACAGCAACAGCATGCTTTAACCAGTACAGAATTGGCTAGACTGTAGACATGGAGTAGTGATCAGCAGAGATGCTGACCTATCCCATGAGATGGGACCACCGCCCTTTGGGCTGCTCTCTTGGAGGATGCATCCAATCATCCTCCCAGTGGAGGACTCAGGCCGTTTTTGCAGTATGTGCATAGCCATGGGGCTAGGGCTGCCTTCCTGCTCTGCACCCAGCTGGGTGGAGCTGAGTGTGCCCACTGCATCCCAGCTGAACCCATTCCCTTCAGTCACAATGGTTTGCCCCCTTGCTGTCTGGTAGATTCCCATAGGGCAGGACCTCTTGTGGTGCCATGCTGCCCCTGCTAGTGAGTTGAGGATGCACGTTCTCCCTGCCCCTGGGCCCCAGGTTCTGCAACATCTGGTTCTTTTGTAGATTTTCCTGATCAACTTGGCACGACGGCCGGATCGGCGCCAGCGGATGCTGAGTGCCCTGCTGGAGCTGGAAGTGGAGCCATTGGTGGTGGAGGCCGTGGATGGGAGGTGACTGCTCTATTGTTTGCCCCACGTGAACACTGCAGGTCTTTCCCTAGCTTGGGTGGGAGTAGAGCCATCCCTGAGCTGAGGGGGTGGGCAGCTAGTCTGGGCCCCTGACTGCACATTGGTTTCTTGTTCCTGGATCTCAGCCCTCTTGATGAAGTAGTGAGGTGGAGGCTCATTAATAGATTCAGCAGGGAAATGAGAGGCACAGCAGAAAGGTGGCACAGCATCATCTATTCTCATTAGCAAGGGTCTGGTGACTGACAAGGAGCAGTGGCAGTAAGAACAGTCAGCAGCTGATGCTATACCTAGGGCCTGGTGTAGTGCCCAGCCTCACACCCCCACACAGCCCCCAACCCTCTGCCTGTTGCTGTGGACTGTGCTATGCACAGTGTGGGTGGAGAGCTCCACATCCACCAGACCTGGCTCATCCTGTGGCAGGCTTTCAGGGCATCTGGGGGATGTTCCAGGTTCAAAAGAACCCATATGGGTCCTAGAGGTTACTGCACAGGGCTGTGCTGGAGGCAGAAGTACTGGGACTTGACTAGGGCAAGGGCAGGTGGAAGATATAGGCTCCGTGTTGGGGAGGAGGGATTCCCAGGCTGCGGTGATATTGTCCCCTCCAGCCTGCTCCCTGCTTTGTCTCTTTCCTCCAGTGCCCTGAACAGCAGTGACATTAAGAAGCTGGGTGTGGACCTGCTCCCAGGATACTACGATCCATTCTCTGGCAGGACGCTCACCAAGGGGGAGGTTGGCTGCTTCCTCAGCCATTACTACATCTGGAAGGAGGTATGACCCCAGGGCTGGGTAAAGTGGTAAATGGGGCAGGGAGGAGCTGGGTTGGATTAGATTAGTGCTAGATGCTGCTCACCACTGGGGACAGGCCTTGCCTTGGCAGCTCTACAATCTACATGGGCAAGAGAAGGCAGGAGGGGAAACTGAGGCACAGAGAAAGGAGGCAACTGGTCTGGGGTCCCCTAGCAGCTCAGTGGCAGAGCTGGAGCTGGCACTCAGATGCTGAGTCCTTGTCTGCTGCCTGAGCCACTTGATAACCTGGGAACCTGCTCCTGGCCAGAGCAGTCTGCTGTCAGGGCCAGCCCTAGGGGAGAGCACAGTTTTCTCATTGTGTCACTTCTGGGAGGCCTCTTGCACCGTGAGCTTCTTGTTGGAAGAGGCTCCCCCATCTGCTCCCAGCCTGGGTGCATGCTGGGGTCAACTGTGGCCTGGCTGGGCAGTAAGGAACCAAGACGGCAGGACCGTATCAATAGCTACTCCTGCTCTCCACAGATCGTGGCACGGGGGCTGGGGACGGCGGTCGTGTTTGAAGACGACGTGCGCTTTGAGGGCTACTTCAAGCAGCGGCTGCAGAGGCTTATGGGAGAGCTGGAGTGGGCAAAGCTGGACTGGGACCTGATGTATGTTGACCTGGTCTTGCAGCAAGGGGCAGGAGTAGAGCTGCACACAGGGCCCAGCCCAAGCCACCACCCTACTGGGGCTCCCTCCCTGATTCCCTGGCCCCCTTCCCCTGTGGGCTCCTTCTGATGCCTGCTGCTGTTGCATTTCCAGCAGTGAGTGTCCCAGTGCAGTGTCCCAGTCCCTGGGTGGAGGGACTCCCATCTGTAACACATGCACCGCAGATTCGAGGGCTGCATAAGCACTGCTGCTTGGGGCAGTGATGGTCTCCCTGCAGCCACAGAAAGGGGGCAGCCTGCCTAGCGAAACAGTATGCTACTCCCAGCTGCCAGACACAGGGCTGGCAGGACCAGTAGCTTAACTGGGGGGAGATGGGGTACAGAGAAGCAGCTCTGGGCACTGTCTTTGTGGTGGCAGCAGCTGATCACTCCATGGTAATCAGCACAGTGGGAGCCAGTGCTGCCCTGGGCATGGAGCTGTGCTGCTTCACCTTTGGGCAGGACCCCTGAGAGGGCATGGGTGGTGCTTGCTGGTCCTTGGCCAGGTCTACACAGGGGCCTATAGTGCTGCTTTCAGTGGGGTGTTGGGTGATGTGAGAGCACAAAACATTTATGTCACATACACTATTCAATGGCCATCAGGTGGGAGCAACTTCTAGTCACTGGGTGGGAGCTGGCAGCTTGCAGGGAGTCTGAGTCCCACTCCCAGCCCCTGAAGCCACCTGCACACATGTCTCCTGGGGTTGCTGAGGGCCTGGCTCCTTCCCTCTTGCTGAAGGGGGGGTCTGTCTGCCTTTGTAGCTACCTGGGCAGGAAGCAGGTGCAGTCTGAGGATGAGGAGCCGGTGGAGGACGTGAGAAACCTGGTGGTGCCGTCATATTCCTATTGGACCCTGGCCTACATCATCTCCCAGCAGGGAGCCCAGAAGCTGATCAACGCCAAGCCCCTGGGCAAAATGCTGCCCGTGGATGAGTTCCTGCCCATCATGTACGACAAGCACCCAAAGTAAGAGGGGCTCCATGGCCCTGGGGGGAATGGACTGCAAGAGTCCAGAGCTGGGGCCTTGCTTCATGCAGCCCCCTCTGGAAGGTGGTGGGATTGGGTTTCTAGCCCAGGGCCTGCAATCCTCCTCCCTTGCCTGCTTTGCTGCACTGGGCCCCTCAGACCTTGGTTCCTTGGAAGTGAAGGAACATGCATTTCCCCCCACCCCCCCCAGCTTCCACATGCTGAAGGAAAACATCTGTTACCATTAGCTCATCCCCCACAGACACGGCTGGGCTTTGGCCTCTGGAAAATAGTCATCAGCAGGCTCCGGGGGGAGAGGAGGAATAGAGATTTGTTGCCAGCTGAGCATGGTGCTGGTGTGGAATGAGTGTGGGGGGGTGGTCTTTAGTGGGAGGAGCATCTATATACATTTATATACCCAACAGCACCACTGGCCTCCCCTGCGCTCCTTATGGACCCAGCTGGGTCTTCTCTCCCCCAGATCAGGTTGCTAGTGTCTGGGTTGTTCTCATGGTGCAGTTGATAAGTCGCTCTGTGGCTGTGATCAGATGGGGAGAACAGGGATTCCTGAGCAGAGGCTGGGTCTGTGTGCATTATGCCCAGCCAGGACAGTCCTGATCCCCTTTGCACACACATGGTGTGAGGATGAGGCTGCTAACTTGCCTGTTGCAGGGAGATGAGCTGCGGGTGCCCTGCAGTATCCAACCACAGAGATTAGCCACTGTTTCTCTGCCCAGGCAGCTGAGCTTTCCCAGCCACCCCAGACTGTGCATGTGATTTGCATCTTCTGCAGCCCCACATGCTTTCCAGCCCCAGGCCTGCAGCTGTGTGGCTGGCAGGGCCTTTTCCCCAGTGTAGACGTCCCAGAGCCCGATCAGGTGGCAGGAGGCAGGTGTGGGAGGGAATGGGAAAGGCTGAGGGTGAGGTGGGATGCAGAGAGTAAAGGGAGGGGTGGAAGAAGAAGATGGATAGACAGACTGATGGGAGGGTGTGAGCCAGGAGCCCCTCCAGGTGCCGTGTTAGCTTCAGTAGCCTCAGCACAACCCCCTTGGCCCTGGGCCAGTGGTCTGGGTCACAGGAGACAGATGCGATAGGGGTGACCTGGGTGTGGAGAACAGTCTCCAGAGTCACTCCCTGCTCTGGGCAGTCAGGGATGCTGAGAGCTGGAGTGCTGAGACACAGGGCAGGGTCCTGGGTGCTCCCAGCAGAGGAGCCCATGGAGGAGGAGGCTGGATGCTGCCTGCACAGTGTCACCTCCTGCTCTGCGCTGAGTGCCAGCAGTCTGCCGGGTGAGCTCATCGTGGGAATCCTTGTTTGCTGCACTCTAACAAGGAGCCTGAGAAACGCCTGGTTCTCCTCTTGCCTGGACTTGGAAAAACAAGTTGCCTGAGCCAAGCAAAGTGCATTGGCTGTGGTCTGAGACGTTTCATCAGAGCTGCGGGCACGTTCCTCTCACCTCCATGCTCCCCTGGAGCCGCCTTCTCTCCTGGAGCTCTTGGCTTCAGGCCTCCAGCGGAAAACAAACTGGCTCCATCCCTGCACTGGGTCCGGGGCACCCCGTGTCTGAGCATCCCCCTAGGTGGTGGGTGGCATTGGTGGGTCCTGCTGCCCCCCATGCTGCACACCCCCAGCCCCCTGGCGTTCCACTGAAAATGGTATTTTTTCCACTCTGCCTTGTACAGCCAGGATTACAAGAAGCATTTTGCCAGGCGAGACCTGGCGGTGTACTCAGTGCATCCCCTGCTGGTGCAGCCCACTCACTACACTGGGGACGCCCAGTGGCTCAGCGACACGGAGACCTCCACCATCTGGGATGACGACTCCCGGAAGACGGACTGGAGCGGCTCGCAGAAGACGCTGAAGCACTCCCGAGGCCATGCCGGCCACTCGTTCCGCTCAGCCGCCAGAGATGAGCTCTGACATTGCCTGGTAAGCGTGGTCCAGGAGCAGCTGTGGAGCACAGGTTTGAACATGTGGACACACGTGCTGTGGGTCCATGTAGCATGGGCTCGGCTGCCTTTGATGCTGGTTTCAGTGTTGTCCTGAAATCCGGTGTTGTGACATGTCTGAATCTCCCTTTAAAACCTTTTCCCTCCTGTCCCTGCCTCCCCGTGGATCTTAGGGCACCTTGTGTAGCCTCACACCCCAACCCCTTCCATTGGGTTAGGGCCACCCCTGTTTGTTCAGATGGAAATCCCACAAGCAGGCAGGAAGTCGGTGGGAGATGAGTAACTTGGGCCCCCCAGTCCCTGACTACATGGCCTTTGCAGTCTGTTTGGGACAGTAGCTGTGTCAGGCTGTCAGCAGGAAGAGAAAGGTGTAGGAGCACCCAGAGGGTGAGCCTGGGCCCTGTCTCCTTGCTTCTGATGTCTTGTCACCCCCAGCAATGGGACGGGTAAAGCAGCAAGAAGCTGCCTTTGGCTGCAGCTGTGGGAAGAGGTGTGTGCAGGCTCAGGGGCAAACCCTGGGAGGGGTCACATTATCAAGAGTTTTATACACCCCTGTGTGTAGGGGCAGAGGGGCCTGAGCATCCTGGTGGCTGTTGTTATGCTGCGTGAACTCGGGCAAGTTACACTAACACTATGTGCCTCGATTTTCCCGTCTGCACTACAGGGATGATATACGCTATTTCCTCTGGCGCACAGGGGGTTCACTAGCAGTTGCCTGCAAAGCCCCTCCATCTCAAAGGACCCTTCTGCCTCAGGCTGCTCTTCCCACTGCTAAGATGGCAGGGGGCTGCGCCACGTGGCCTGTGCTGTGTTATGAGTGTGAGATCAGCACTTGATGCTGGGAGGAGGAGCCGCCCTGGGAACAGCCTCTGCTCTCTCTGCTTCAGCCCAGCATTGCTAGAGTTAATCCTCTCTCAGAGGCTCCAAAACAGTCCTGCTGTCTGGGATTTTTTGCGCTGGCAAGAAAACAAGTCTCTAGGCAGGAGCTTAGCACCGAGGGCCTGGACTGGGAGCAAAGCAACAGGGCAGGAGTTGAAAACAAGAAAAAAATAGCCTGGCTTTATTTTGGCAGGGCACATTTGGCAGGTCCGGCAGGCGGGGTGGGGGTTTAACAAGCCAGCAGGTCCCCTCTTTTCTCCTGGGCCTGCTGTGAGCTGGCCAGCACACTCCTCCCCAGAGGTGGCTGCAAGTTCCTGGGTCTGGTGTGAGAGCCTTGGGGTTGAAGGGCACCAGAGAAACAGAAGGGATAATGTTTCACACCCACATGTGTTAAGTGACCCGGTCTGCATCTCCAGTGAGCCAAATGACATGCAGGACGGTGGAGCCTCTGGCCTGGATGTGCTGCCTCTGGGGGGAAGAGCTCAGAGAGAAGGCAGCTTGTTTCCTTCACTCCCACCGTCTTCTTAGCAATGCTTGGCTTAAAGCAGCTGCAGGTGGTGACCATGTATTTAGGATTACAGAGCCCCTCTCCACTATCACAGCCAGTCTTCTCCATGCCAGTCCCAGCACCAGGCCTCAGCCTGCACTGGATGGACCTTTTTGGGAGGAGAAGATAGCTCAGTCCCCAGGGCCATTCACAACACCCTCTTCATTTAGTCAGCAGCCTCTGCAGAGGTAGCAGGAGGGAGAGCCACTGCCCAACCATCTGGCAGAGGCACAAGGGGAATCGGCTTCCGGTGGGACACGGGCCAGTGAGTGTTGAGTGTCACTGCACTAGCAAACAGGAGCTGGGCTGTCTGTCCCTTGCAGGCAGTGATTACCCCTGCCTGCATCAATAACACAGGGCTCTCGCTTCCTTTCCCAGGGAGGCTTCCTGTTCCTTGAGCCTGACAAAGGGAGCGTTGTGGGCCACTCTGCCCAGCAGCAGACTCCACTGGTTCCCAGCTGAGAGGTGCAGCTGCAGCCACCGACCGAAAGCGGGTATGGGCCTTGGTGCATCGCCTCCATTCACAGGGACATGCTCCAGCAAGACTTTGCACCAAGGACCATGCTGGGCTCTCCAGATGCCTGCGAGATCTCTCTGCTGAGCAGTGATACTTTTGGACTAGTCCTTTGCAGGCTACTACTTCTCACTCCCTACCTCCTTGTGGAGTCTGCCTGGATGAGCAGGACGGGTCTGAATTGTGCAGGGCCCAACCATTCCCAGGAGGCTGCCTGGCTGCGGGGATCCATCAGAGCTGCTGTGTAGTATTATTCTTGTAGTGCTTGTTTGGACATCGGTGTATGTGGTCAGGTCCTTCTCCTGTTCCAGCAGAATCACCTCCTTCTCTTCACCCTGGACAGATACAGCTGTCACCATAGGTGCTTTGGTGGAAAGGAGATGAGATGCTAAGGAGACGGGTGCCAAGGAAATGCCTATGAGGGCACAGATTTCCAAAGAGGATGGAGCACAGGCCAGAAGGGCAGAAGCTGTCTCAGCTGACTGTAGCTCAGGGTTATGCTTTCCTTGGGTGATGCTCTGCCAGGCTCATCTGTCACCTGCACTGGTTCTTGATGGACGTGAGTGAACCAGGAGGAGGATTAAAGCCGACTCTATTTAAGCTTGTTCGCCAGAGTCTTGTTGCCATTGTCTTGGTCCCTGGTGTTCTCTAGTGTGTTATGCATCTACTCACTCCAGCTCTGGCCAGAAATAGCAGCACTTCCCCACACCTCCAGGCTTAGAGCAGCACAAACAAGACTGGCAGGGGAGGCTGGGCTGTGCTCTTAACTGTAGTGATGTTAACACAGTAAAACCACCCTAATGTGGGTGCAGTGTATCCTGGCATAAAGTGCTTTATTCTGGGATAACTATTCCACTAGGGAAAGAGCTGCCTGGTTTCCTCTCTTCATTTACCCAGGAGACTGGGATTTCCAGCACTGAGCGGTGTTAGAAAATGAAGTGTGGCCTGGTTGATCAAATAGGGTTGAAAGGTAGGTGGGTCCCAGCTCTGCCACTGGCTGGCTGGGTGACAACAGCAAGACACTTCACCCTGTGTACTTCAGCCACCCCATCTGTGTAGCAGGGTGATACCCCCCGAGAGGTGGGAAAGTAGGAGGGTTATTTAGTGTCATGTCTGTCGAGGGCTTTGGAGAGGTTAAGCACAAGCAGCCGTCTAACTGAGCAACGTTTCACTGCCACTTTGCCCAGGTGTAAATGGAGACCCAGGACTCAAAGAGCAGGCAGCTGGAACAGCGTTGGGACAGCTGGCCAAGGAGGCTGTGGGATCCCCAGCCTTGGAGGTTTTTAAGAGCAGGCTAGACAGACACTTGGCGGGGAGGTTTTAGACAGGGATGATCTTGGCTTGAGCAGGGGCTGGACTAGGACATGACCGCCCCTTCCAGCCCTGTTTTTTCTCATGCTATGACCCCTGACTTCAGAAAAGCTTTTCAGAAATTATCTCTTGACATCACTTGCTACCATAGGAAAGGGGGGAGATTGACTTTTTGCCATCCCAAATAATCCCAAGCTCACCTCTGCCGGCAGAGCCTAGAATCCTGCCCTCTGGGCAGACTGTCAGGGCAGGCTTCTTCACTGCCCCCGTGATATATTAGCAGCACCTGTCCCAGTGCCCAGAAGACAGCTCAGGATCTGAAGTCTGAATGGTGCTGCCCTCATCTCTTATCCGAGGCATGTGCCCTTGGCCCATGCACCCACAGAGTTGCCCTAAGCCCACAGGCTGCTCTAGGTCCTTACACAGTGTCTGCGCACTCTGTCTTTGCCATGTATTTATCCTTGCGACACCCCTGCCAGCTCCCGTGGTCGGAAGCAGATGCTTTAACTAGCCCACCTTCCCCTGTCCCAACTGTTCACCGAGGTGGCTTGGAGGGGGCAACGCCTCTGCAGTGACCCCAGGCCCGCGGAGCATGGGGCTCTGCACGGCCGTGCTTCATTCCCTTCTTAGAGGAGGCTTCTGGCGCGCAGGTATGGCTCTGCTCTCCCCACCATGAGACTGGGAGCAGGTGACGGCTGGCTCGGGCTGTGCCAGGGACAGGGCTGGGCAGTGTGTGCCCCCACCCCTTAGACCAGGTGCCTGGTGCTTTCAGGGGCCTAGGAGGTGCCCCAGGCTCTGCCGTGCAGCTGGGCGATGGGGGCGGCAAAGTCCAGGGCACCCCTCTAGGGGCGTTCGTAGCGGCGCCTGGCCCTTTAAGGCGCTCCGCCGCCCGTTGCTATGTACAGAACGCGCTCCCTGGCAACGCGGCTCTTAAAGCGCGCGCGGGCTCCTGCCGCGCCGCGACGCGCCGCGATGGCCCCCAAGAAGAAGGGCCGGGGCGGCGGCGCCAGGGCGGACGCGGAGGCGGCTCAGCCCGAGCCCGGCCGCGACTTCTACCTGCTGCAGATCCGGGACCTGGAGCAGCGCCTGGCCCGGTGCGGGCGGGGCGGGGCGGGGCGGGGGGTTGCACCCGGGCCTTCCCCTGCGGTTCCGGGCTGGGGCTGGGGCTGGGGCGAGCCGGTGGGTGTCCCGCTGGCCTGGGCTGGGGGTGGCAGGCGATGGGCCCCGGGCAGCAGGAGGGATGGGGTGACCCAGCACGGGCGATGTCTGACATCAGGGTGGCGCTGCCTGCCCGGGCAGGTACCAGCAGCGATGGGACGAGCTGCAGGCCGGCGAGGACCTGCTGCGGATGGAGAACGAGCAGATGGCCAGCGACAACAAGGAGATCGTGGCCTTCCTCAAGAGGACCCTGAACCAGCGGGCGGATGAGATTGCCGAGCTCCACAACCAGCTGCTGGGCCTCCAGCAGGCCAAGGATGCGGAGAAAGATGCTTTCGAGGCCCAGCTGGCCCAGGTGCGGCACGAGTTCCAGGAGACCAAGGACCAGCTCACGTCCGAGAACATGCTGCTCAGTAAGGTCATAGCCCTGGTCGCCCCTCCCCTGCACAGCTCGCCCCCGCGGTCTGACCGGACCAGACTCCACCACCACCGGTCCTCAAACCCAGGGCCCTTGGCTGCCTCCCAGGGTCTATGGAGGAGCGTTGAGTTCCTATTGCAATTAAAACCCCACGGAGGAGCGACATGAGGTGCTCCCTCTCCTGTAGCCCAGGAGACAGCTTGGGCGACCCAGGGCTGGAGCCAGATTTCAGTTGCAGGTATTGAGGGATGGACATTTTGGGGGTTGCGCAGTTCAGGCTGTTTGGGCTGCTGAGGGACCAGCTGTTTAAAATGTGGTACGGCTGCAGTGGGTGGGGATCTCTTTTTCCTCCCTTGGAAAACGTGGATGAACCCGATTCCTTTATTGCTGCCTTGATGTTGTCAGCTGAAAGCATCAGGTTTTATTATCTTTTTTTTTTCAGTCGAAAGCTTGGAAACATTTTGTAACCTTTCAGCCAAAGTCTGCTGTGAAGCGATGTTGGTTTGGCCTGGGCCTGAGAGATTTTGTTTTCTCCTGTGAAGTCTCAGTGTTTCTGGAAGAGCTGGTGCCTTCCAGGCAAATGCTCGTTAGCAGAGAACCCAGCTCTCCCTTGACGAAGGAAACTGTTGTGACCAGCTCTAGTTACTGGCGGGGTTGCGGGGCAGAGGGAGAAGCTCTCTGTGCTGTGGACAGGTGGAGCCTCGCTGCTGCTGCTGCAGGGGTGGGTGGGTGTCTGTGCTCCAACTCTGGTGAAAGATGCTGGGCTGACAGTGCTGGAGTCTGTCTGTGCTGAACCCACAGCAGGTGCTGCTGGGGCAGTATGAGGGCAAGTGTCCCTGTATTGCTGCAGCACCAGGCCAGGGCATGCAAACATCCTTAAGTCCTGGCTTGAAAGGCAGCTGGCTCCATAATCCACTGGACCTCCAAGCAGCACTGCTCTGGTGCTGGGGAGAACCCTGGGAGGGGACTCCTGTGCTTGGTGAAACTCCTGGCTTGCTCTCTCCTCTCTCTAGGGGCAGAAAGCCCAGGCAAGCCTGGTGGGGCCCTAAGTGATTTCTTTGGCAGGTGGGAAGCTGGCTGCATTGGAGGAGTTCAGGGTCCAGAAAGATGAGCTCATGGCCAAGTTTGCGACCCTGGAGGAGCAGCTGCAGAAGCAGGAGGAAGGTCACAAGGAGTACACTTACAACCTGGAGAGGAAGATGGTGCTGGACAGGGACAGGTCAGCCCAGCAGAGCCTGACTCACAGTTCCCCACTGCAGGCAGCCATGAAAGTGAAAGCAGGAGTGTGAGCCAGTGGTTACAGCTTAGACTGGTGACCTGAGGCTTCTACTCCTGGCCTCACCACTGGCAGGCAGCTCACTTGCCCTGCCCGAGCCTCGGTCCCCAATCTGTAATCACAGAGGGAGATTAATACCAGTGTGGATGGAGAGAGGCAGGGGGCTGGCAGGTGGTGAGTTTCCAGCTGTGTGGTGATGGACATCTAGTAGAGCTGTCCCTGTACACAGGTGGTTGAACTTGTTTGAGTGGGTGGGTAGGACATGGGCAGTTCTCCCCCGGAGCACCTGGGATGGAGTGCATGCTCCCCCATCCAGGGTCTCTCATGGGTGCTCTGCATGCTTTCCCAGGCAGTGAAAGGAAGCATGTGGGAGCTGCCATGTAGGTTGTTTTTTTGGGGCTGAGGTGCTGGTGGGGGCAGTGGGCCCCTGCTAGGGGTGATGCCCTTCCCTGCACATATATGTATGTGGCTCTTACCCTGTAGGCTGAAGAAGGAGATGGTGCAGCGCGTCAATGTGGTGGCATCCGAGTTTCGCAAGGTGTCCCACAGTCAGATGGCTGAGACCACCAAACGCGCCATCCGGGAGAATGTGGCCATCAGTGTCCAGCTGACCAAGCTGTCTGACCGCAGCTATGACCTCCTCCAGGAGAATGAGCAGCTGAAGGAGGCTCAGGTTGAGATGCAGAAGCAGCTGGAGATGCTGGAGCACAATGAGAAAGAGATGGCCAAGAACAGCCTCAGCCACCAGAAGGTCAGAGCCCCCCTCTGCTGTCTGGGGGTGGTCAGCACAGGGGGACACTGACCCAGACAGCTGAAGCCAGGTCTGGGTGCTGCACCTAGTGGCCATATGCGGGTTTTCCAGGGCGCTATCAGGGTACTGGGGCCTGGGGAGACCATGGTGCGAACCTGGTTGGTGGGTGCAGAGGCTCATTGCTTGGCTGTAGGCTGCTGAGCATTAGGGCTGTGCAAAATTTCGCCGGTTCTTTCAATTCAACATTGTTTTGACTAATTTCGAGCTTTGAATCAAAATGAAGGGCTTCGAAACAGCCTCAAAACAAAACGAGGCTAGTCGAAATGTTTTGAAACGTTTCGATACCAGCAGTGAGAGACAGGGGAGCACCAGCGGGGAGCGCAGCCCTGGCTCTCCCTGTCTCCCGTGCTGGAAGCTGATAACAGTGCAGAGGAAGGGAACTGAGCCTCAGCTCAGCTCCCCTCCCCAGCACTGCGATCTGATGGGGTGAACAGGCATCGGGGTGGAGTGGAGAGTCAGCCCAACTGGGCTCACTCCCCCACACCACACACGCTGTGATCGGGCGTGGGGGTGGAGAGTCAGCCTAGCTGTTTCGAATTGAAGTGAAATTCAAAACAGAACGCTGTTCCTTTGAACCGTCGAAACTGAAGGCAAAATGGAACCATGCCGTCTTGCACAGCCCTACTGCGCATGGGCCAGGAAAGCTTGGGGAGGGGCTGAGGTGTGTGGGCTAAAGCTGATTGCATCTTTTCTGTCCTCTGATACTCCCCCTTGTCCCCTTTGCTCTTTCCAGATGATTTGGATGCTCATCCGGAGATGCAAAGAGCAGAAGCTGCTGCTGAATGAGTACACAAAGCAGAGGGAGGCCATGTGCCACCTGGAGGTGGCCCACAAGGAGCTGCAGGGGGAAACCCAGGCACTGAGGTACTGGCATCACCAACAGTGATGATGACAAGGCATTAGGGCCCAGAGACGGGTCTCATTCCAGCACTGCTCCTGGGCCATGCAGGAGAGGTGGAAGAGCCCTTGTTTCATAACCCACCAGGTCTGGCAGGCTGAGCAAGGTCAGGCCATGCTCATGGGAGATCCTCACAAAGCCCCAGGTGCAACAGGACTTGGTGCTGGGGCTTCAGAAAGTGCTGCTATTCCTTTAGACCTGGCTGCAGGGGCACTGTGTTGCTGCCTCTTACTTCCTGGCCTGGGGCTGGCTGGGAGTTGGAAATTCCAGCACTTTGAAGGGAAAGAATGGGGTCTTTCTGTTCTGAATGAATACAGCCAGCCAGGACCTTGATATCCCCCACAACTGCCCTAGCCCAGTCTCAGACTTGGCAAGCCCTTGCCACTGTGTGTGCTAGGCAGGCCAGACGGCTAGAGCCAGGGTGGCGCTGACTAGTGCTCTGGCTGACCAGATGCTGAGAGCACCAGACCACCTAGCAGAGGCTCTGCCCACCACACAGCTGGGCCCTGCAACCCATTGCTGCATTTACAGGACACTGGGGAACCCCTCCCAGTAATTACCTGGCTGCTGCTTCCTCCCTGTGTCCCAGCACTGCAAGTTAGCATGGAAAGGGGAAGCTGGCAGCCACCATATGGGTCACCAGCTGGCAAACCTGGCCTAGGCAGAACCTGCCTCCCCAAGGCTTCACCTGTAGCATCTTGTCTGTGAACCAGCTTAGACATATGGGTACCAGGGCACCTACACTCCAGGCCAAGCAGGCATCAGCATCCTGAGACCTTGGCATTCTCTTCTTGTCTCCGCCCCAGAGAGAGGTTGCAGAAGCTGGAGGAGGAGGCAAGGAGGAGGGTGGCAGAAGGGCAGAGTCAGGCCAGGCTCCTGGAAGAGGAGCAGAAGCAGAGGAAGAAGGCAAAAAGGGTCCTGGCTCGGGTGGTGCATGTCCTGAAAGAGCTGCTGCTGGTGAGGCTCCCACTGCCCCCAGGCTTATGAGGATGCCAGGCATGAAGGGAGGGAGAGCCCAGTGTTCCCTGTACCAGGCGCATCAAGGTCAGAGATGTGGGAACAAGCAGGGGGCAGTGGTGTCTGCAAGGGCTGGGCACAGGCACTCCTGGCTTTGTCCCAGCTTTCCCAATGCCTCCCGGTGTGGCCCCAGGCAAGCTGCTGCTCCACTCTGTGCCTCCACTTCTTCACCTGTAGGGCTAGATGATATTGCTCTATCCTCCCAGGGTCTGGGGCTTGGTTGGGGTGCTCAGAGGGGCTTAGAGCATGTTCCAAACTAAGGCTCTGAAGGGCAAAACCCTCCTGTGGTGAAGAACAGCACAGGGCCAGGAAGTGTCTGAGCCCAGCCTAGACCCCCTGGGGCCAGCTCGCTGTCCCACAAATTCTGTAGAGAACTGGGGAGCCGCGGAGCATCCAAGGTCTTGGTGTCCCACAGAGGCCACTGGGGAGCTCTGGGGTGCTCACAGGTGCTGCAATGGTAGGACTGAGCCAGGTGCTTCCTTGGCCTCTGGGGAGGTGAGCAGCCCTAGCCCACAGGTGAGGTGCTTCTGTGCAGGTTCCCCCCCAACTCCATCAATCTCCTCCATCTGTGTGGCCTACAGGAGAAGCCAGTTGACGAGGAGGAAGGCGAGTTCGATGTCGTATTCCAGCTGCGGCGCAAGGAGAAGCTGCAGAGTCTGCTGGCCCTGGTGCAGCAGGTGGCTCGGGGGGAGCAGAGGCTTCCAGAGCAGGAGTTCCCACCACTGCGAATGGCCAGCAGGGAGCACCACTTGGAGCGGTATTTGGGGTTGGGGGGGCCTGTGCCAAGAGGGCTGGGCTGCAGGGGCAATGCAGAAAGAAGCTCTGTTCCTTGTCCAGGCCAACTCCATGTTGCTCCCAGGTCCAGTGCCCTGGAGGGGGAGGTCCATGGACCAGGAGCTGTCATGGCCTTGCAAGGTGGAGCAGAGAGGCAGAGCATCTGCTCTTTTTGTCGTCTTTCTGCCCTGCATGTGAAGACAACTCCCAGCCAGCAGCTCCCCACCCCAGTCACACATTCTTACCGGGGACGCAGGGCAGCCAGGAGAATCTTCCTGGCTTGCGTTGGCTCTGGCTCACTTTGCTTCCTGATTCCTGATCCTGTGCTTCCCGTCTGCCCTTAGGTTATTTCCTGGCTCCTGCCAGGGCCTGCCATCCTCCTCTGCTCCCTCCAAAGCAGGTCCTTGGCTATCATGTCTTTGCAGGCCTTGCCCCGCCATTCCCTTCCCCCCCTATCACGTGGTGTAATCCAGCCCCTCTCCCTCCTCAGGTCCAGCCAGCTGCCCTCAGCCCTGCATGTGAAGGCTTCCCGTGTGCTGTCTCACCACTCGATTATGTGGCAGGGGCATGTGCCGCAGCTGTGCCACAGCATGCCCAACATGAGCCAGCTAGGCCTGCTGCCTGAGACCACCTGCTTCGGGACCCTCCGTGCCTACAGCAGCAGCCCAGAGGTGAGGCCAGCTTCAGGGCAGCAGGGTATGGGCCTGGGCAGGGCTGAGGCCAGGCAAGCTTCTGCTCAGAGGTTAGAAGTGGAGCCTTGCGGGAGGGCTGGGCAGGCTCTACGCAGCCCCTAGACCAGGGGTTCTCAAACTTTGTGATACCGCGACCCTGTAAAATAATATATACGTTTACACGCCCCCCCATAATTAAAGCTATTGATTCAAACCAGGGGTTTTCAACCTTTTTTGGTTGGTGTACCCCTGGCAGCCAATCGCGAAGCAGGCAGCCAGTCAAGGAGCAGGAGTGGGGGGTCCCCCAGTGGCTGATTAAGTGGGTGGGATCCCTGTTGGCCAGTCGATGAGCAGGAGGGCAGTGGGGTCCCCAGTGGCCGATTGACAGGGATGGGGGGGAACTGACAAGCAGGCAGCGGTGAAAGTGGAAGCACCGGTGGAAGGATCCACAGCATGTGGAAGCAGCATGAAGTGCTGGAGAAGTTTGCGACCCCCTTTTAAGTTGTACAGTTTGAGAACCCCTGCCCTAGACTGACCCATCCCCTCTCCTGATCCAAACAGATCCCTTCAGCTTGGAGCTAAGGAGCCTGGGGGTGGGAGGGAAGTACATTACAGGCCCAAAGAGCCCTGTCCTGCCCCTGCTGGGAGGCAGCAGAGGGGGCTGTGTCTGAACTGCTCTCACTTTTCCCACAGCAACTCGTGACTTCCTGGCCAGAGGAGACACAGGGGAAGCAGCCAACCACCCTGCCCAAGGTAGTGGTTAAACCCTCCTGACGGCAGAGGCTGGGCTGTACAGGAAGCCTGCGGGGACAGACGCCTTTCCTGCCAGCCAACTGCTGTTCTGCTGGGTGGCCTGAGCAAAGGAGCAGGATTGAGGACAAACATGGGGGGGGTAGAGGACACATGGATTTATTTTCCAGTTAGTGCAAAACTGTTCTATGAAAATGCTGTCAAGACAGTTGAATGAGAGTGAAGGATAAATCTGAGCAGCTGGGGCCTACCTGGCTCAACAGGGGGCCTGTAATGTGCTCTGTACAGAGGGAAAGGGGCAGCTAGGCCATGCCAGCCCTAAGCAGGGTGAGGAGGCAGGCGCCCCATGAACCGTCAGCTGGGGTCATGCACAGAGCCTGTCTGGGGTCAAGGGATCTTGCTCCCTGCAGAGAGGGAAAGTCTGGCTCCCTGTAAGAGCTGCCTGTGCAGGTAGAAGAGCCCAGTGCTGACTCAGGTGTGCAAGGAGAGCTCCTGCCTGATGGTCCTCCCCCCACATCCTATTACTGGAGCAGTGCTATACACAGCCCTGCTTGTAGGGTCAGTGCTCTATGCTTAGCTCCAGGATACTGCCCAAGCCCGTGCAAGCCATGGTGCCTAGTAACCCCTTAAAGAGCCCAGAACCACTGCTTTCTGTTGTCACCACATTCATGAAAATGCCCTAGCGATCGAAGGCTCAACCCTGGTCGCCCTTGTCACTGGGAGTGGCAGAGCCCTGGCCCCTGTCCAGTGCTAGGGCTGCCTTGGTGCCCCTGCTGCCCTGCAGGATGTGCTCCAACAGCAGGCTGACTGCCTGCTCCAGGACCTGTGGCAGGACCTCTTGCTCAGCACTGGTGAACCTGCCCAGAACGAAGTGATCCACCATAGCTTCTCCCACGGGGCGGCCGATGCCCACCCGGAGCCGGACCATGCGCTGTGGGGGAGATGAGATCTGTGAGCAGGGTGATGGGGTGCTCCTCGCTCCTCCATGCTGGGACCGGGGTCTTTGGCTGAGCTGTTCCCACTGTACAGCGTGGCAGCTAGTGGAACACTGTGCGCCCAGCAGAGCCTGGAGCACGTGCTCCTGACCCAAAGCAGAAACAGATGCTGGAGGCTTGTGTGATGTTAGGCCAAAACTTCAGTGTCAGGGACCTTATGAGCCAGGGCCCAGCAAAAGAAGGGGACTCTGGGAGTGGTGAGCAGCTCTGTGGATTGGAAGGGGATCTTGGGGGCTTCACTAGAGGAGGGCTCCCACAGATCAGCAAGAGAGGGAGAGTGGGGACTCTGTCTCACTCCATTACCCTGTGATGTGGCTGGATCCAGGCTGTGCTCCAACAAACATACGCTTGGAAGGAGCCTGGTTCTACAGTACAGCTGAGCCAGTGCCCCAGGCTCCTGGCCAGGCCAGCCGGTTCCACTTAGCTAATTGCCTCCATGTTTTCCCAGCTCGTGGGTGAGGCAGAAACAAGAAGGAGGGGAGACAGCTGCTAGCCTGGGGCAGGGCAGGGATGGAGAGGAGAGGGAAGCCGTGAAGTGAGGTGTGGCTGAGGCCTGTCTCCAGGGGCCATGGTGAAATGGGCCATGGCTGGGAGGTGTAAGTGAGGTCTTGCAGGGAGAGGCGTACTTACATCTGAGTGCAGGGCACTGATGCAGGAGCGGACTCCGTTGTGCCCCCTAAGGACAGTAGGAGATTAAGCAGGGTCAGCGGAAGGTGAGAACCCACATGGGGCTGCAAGCGAGGCCTGAGGCACCAAGGGAACAACTGAACCCTGCTCCTAGACCTGGGCTGGTCTGCACAAAGTACCCTGGTTTAACTAAGTGGTGACTCTAAGCCAGGTTAGTGAACCTGGTGCTGCACCCTCCCCTCTAGGCACATACCTGGTGCCAAATGTTTTGCACACCATTCTGACTCAGTGGGTGTGTGTGGGGCACAGGGACAGCTGGCTGTCTTGCCTAGCAGTCACTCTCCATTTGAGCAAGATGCTGGCTGCCAGAGAGCAGCTATTTCCAGTCCACCCAGAGACACAGTCCCCAGCACACAAGGAGTTGCTGACGGAGCTACTCCTAGAGCAAGGAATTGGGAGGGAACTAACGGATCTTTTGGTTTGATCCACTGCACAGGTGCAGGACATAATGTCACTCTCTTGTGCCAGGCCGTCATGATGTCTCCAATTAACCAGCAGTTTGGCTGGAGGCGGTAGGCAAGCCTGTGTCTGATGGGGCTGTAAGCTCTGCTTAAGCAGTGGCAGCTCAAAAGTTCTGTCCCTGTCCCTTTCCCACCTGCCCAGCCAGGGGGAAGGGGCTTTCCTAGCCCCCAATGCCCATCTCCAATCACTGTACTGTGCCAGGGCTTTCCCTTTGTACCTTGCGCTGCCTCCCAGCTTCATTGCTATCTTCCCCAGCGGCTTGTCCACGTCATCGTGAACTAGGTAGATGTCTTTGATGCCCACGTTGTATGTCTCAGCTTGAAACAGAAACAAAGAGTGAGGGGAAATGCCTCTCCCTGAGGATGCCACAAGCGTTGGCAGAGATGCAGCAAGGGGCAGACAGCAGGAAGGGTTTATCAGGGGTTTGAGACCTGTTGGCCTCAGGAATGCACTGGCAGAAATGCTGGCAGCTGGAGTGCACAGGCTCATGCTAGGGCTGCCTGGCGTTTGGACCACAGGATACAGCTGCACAGTGAGCCTAGTTCAGGCCCCGAGTAGCTGACAGCCAGTGCCACTGAAGCCCGACTGGGTGCAGCAGGGGAAGATGGGAGCTGCTTGGGACACCAGGGAAACCTGCTTACTTCCAAGAATCATGCTGAGATCTTTGGTGTCTGTGCAGAGCCTTTGCATCCTCCTTCCCAAAAGCCTGTCACAAGAACCCACATGGGGCATACTCAGCTGACCTCACCTACCTCCCAAGGTGGTATGAGAACGCTATGATCTGCAATGGCTTTTGGAGATGAGAAGGGCTGGCTGATGTGTGCACTGCCTCTGATTGGGCTGAATCCACTCTGTGTCACAGACCCTATATTGTACTAATAGCAAGGATTCTCCTTTAGCTCACAAACCATTGAGCTTTTGCATCAGGAAGACCTAGGCTCTGTTTCTACTGTCACTGTGCCCCAGGGGCCAGGGCAGCAAGGAAGTCCTGAGTAGCCGCCTTGTCCATGTAAGAGGAAGTGTTTGAACTGCCCCGGGCTGGGCTTGCTCTGTCAAACACAGGGCAGGTACTTAGGATTTGCTGTTTGGGGCAGTAAGTGGGTCCCTGTTGCCAAGCAGGTGAGAGGGGAAGCCTGAAGTTCTCCTGAAGACCACGGCTGTGGGCCCCTCCTGCCACCCACCCAGAGAAATCATCAAGCCACTCACCAGCAGTGGCTATACTGAATCCATTAACATTCATGAGTCTCCGTGGTTTCAACAGCACCAAGTCCAGCTCCTCCAGGTTGGCAACGGCTACGTCTGCACGGCACCGTCTGTCTGCTTGCCACTGGTCAGTGACGTTGAGCTTCTGTGCCAGCTGAGTGAGGACAGCCATCCCCACATTGTGGCGGGTCCCTTGCAGCCCATGATTTCCCAGACCAGCCACCTGCAAACAAGATAAATGGCAGCTGTTCCTGGGACTCCTGGCATTGCCTACCAACCTTACAACCTTATCAGGGGCCACCAGCAGGGACTCGGGGAAAGTCTGTTCACCAGGGCCCCCCTTGGAGTCACCAGGAACAATGGCCACAAGCTGAGGGAGGATAGGTTTAGGTTGGATATTAGGAAGAACTACTTCACTGTAAGGGTGGCCAGAGCCTGGAATAGGCTTCCCAGAGAGGTGGTGCTCTCACCTTCCCTGGAAATCTTCAAGAGGAGACTGGATAAGCACCTGGCTGGGGCCTTATGAACCCCTCCCACCCCCAGTCCTCCTTCCTGCCCATGGCAGGGGGTTGGAATCGATGATCTGTCTAGGTCCCTCCCGACTCATTGATTCTATGATTCTATGAACCTATCCAAGCCACTGGATCACACTGAAGCTGGGGGCCCAGCCCTGCTGGGCTGTGATGAGCAAACTTGCCTTCCTCTCATCTCCGCTCATAGAATCATAGACTCAATGAGTGGGAAGGGACCTAGACAGATCATCTAGTCCAACCACCTGCCATGGGCAGGAAGGAGCGCTAGGGGTGGCAGGGGTCACAAGACCCCAGCCAGGTGCCCATCCAGTCTCCTCTTGAAGATTTCCAGGGAAGGTGAGAGCACCACCTCTCTGGGAAGCCTATTCCAGGCTCTGGCCACCCTTACAGTGAAGTAGTTCTTCCTAATATCTAACCTAAACCTATCCTCCCTCAGCTTCTGGCCACTGTTCCTGGTGACTACAAGGGGAGCCCTGGTGAAGAGACTTTCCCCGAGTCCCTGCTGGTGGCCCCTGATAAGGTTGTAGGCAGCCACAAGATCCCCCCTCAGTCTCCTCTTACAGAGACTGAAGAGATTCAGGTCCCTCAGCCTCTCCTCATAGGGCTGGCCACAGAGGCCCTCAACCATATGAGTGGCCTCCTCTAGACCCTCTCCAGGTTCCCCACGTCCTTGAAGTGCGGCGCCCAGAACTGGACACAGTACTCCAGCTGCGGCCTGACCAGCGCCGCATAGAGGGGGAGCAAGACCTCTCTGGACCTGTTAGTGATGCCCCTGTTGATGCAGGACAGGGTGCGGTTGGCTCTGCCCATTGCTTTGTTGCATTGGTGACTCATATTCATCCTGGAGTCAATCCTGACTCCAAGATCCCTCTCTGGCTCTGTGCTACAGAGAGGGTCAGCCCCTAACCTATAACCATAATGCTGGTTCCCTCTCCCCAGGTACAGCACCCTGCACTTGTCCTTGTTGAACCGCATCCTGTTCAGATCCGCCCACTTCTCCAACCTATCCAGGTCTGCCTGGATGCGGTCCCTGCCTGCCGGTGTATTCACTTTACCCCACAGCTTGGTGTCATCAGCTAACTTGAACAGGGTGCTCTCCACCCCCTCGTCCAGGTCGCTGATGAAGATGTTGAACAGCACCGGCCCAAGGACTGAGCCCTGGGGGACTCTGCTGCCCACACCCTCCCAGGTCGACATCGACCCGTCCACCACCACCCTCTGGGTTCGCCCCTGGAGCCAGTTTGCCACCCATGTGACCGTGCATTCGTCAATACTGCAGTCCCTCAGCTCCTTTTACTGCCCAGGATAGGAAACCCATGGGGCCTGGCAATGTGACCTACACGTCCAGTTTGCTTATGCTAGGGGGCCATGTGTTAGGGACAGGGGTTGTTTCTCTGTGTCTGGGCTTTTTTCACTGCCCTGCCTCCCATTTGTTCTGGCTGCACCTCTTGTCTCCATGACTCAGAAGCCACAGGATGACTCAGAACCACGTCTGTCCCAGGATTCCTCAGCCACACATGAGGGCTACAATATCCATTAGAAAGAGCCTGTCTGCAAGTGGCTCCCCCCTTGCAGATAAGAAATAATGCCATCAGCATAGAAGAGGGGGCATGTTCCTGCTGTGATTCACAATATGTGGATTCAGCAGAGCTTTTACAGGGCAGCATGGTAGAGTATTACAACATCACCTCAGGAGTCCTAGATGGGATCAGGACCTAGCTGTGCTCAGCGCTGTACCAATAAGGTATAAAAGGGCTGTGCCTCAGCCACCTTACAACCTGAAAGTAGGACAAGAGACAACAGGATCCAAGACAGACAGGGGAGGCAAGGAAACAATGAGATAATAATGGTCAGCTCAGCCCATCACTAGCTTTATTACTGTCAGGTTTGTTTTGGAGACATCCCAGCAAAGGAGACCCTCCATTCCCATTAGGTGTATCAGAGACAAAGGCAGATCTGCAAGTTGTCTACACCAAATGTATGTCTGTAGCTGAAATAACCAGGGAGATGAAGAGGCAGAAGAGAACAAGGGCAAGATTTCAAGGAAGATGAGGACTTGTCCTGAGCCCCGTCTGGGAAGAGGTCATCAGTGGAGCTCAGCTTTGCGGCTGGTGTTGAATGGGGCGGATGGACGTTCCTGTCTATCCCACAGACTTGGACTCTCTTACACAGCCGCCTGCAGGGGCAGGGCACTGGACTCAATGACCATATAGCCCCTTACAATCCTGTCTAAGCTGGAAATGGGAGAGGGACTCAACAAGATGGTTGCAACTGGTGCATTCGATGAGCTTAGAGACAAAGGTTGCAGAGCACAGTCGGAAGGCCAAGTGTGGTGTCATCCTAGGTGCAGCAGAAGGAACATGATGTATCCCACGGTTAAGGAAAGGCGCAGGCAGTGCAGAGGTACAAGGGGTAACTCGGATGCAGCGGGCCTGAGCCCCGTGTTTGCGGCCCGTGCTTCACAGCGTGTATTAACAACCATTTGTAGCAGCAGGACGCTGGCTGCCCTGCCCCGCTCGTCTTCCCTGGGGCAGGTTTGGGGGCGATGTCTTGTTGCCTCAGCGCTGATGGTTGTTTTATGAGGAGTTTGAACTGCAAATGTGCTGGAGGTGGGTAATCCCTCCTCGAAGCCCCCTCCCCGTCCTTGCGGGCCCCGCCGTACGCCCAGCCTCTTCCTCGCGGCCGGCAGCAGCTCCCGCGCCACGTGCTGCCTCTCTTGGCCCGACCCGGAAGGGATTCCCTCCCCCACCATGGTCCCGGCAGCGGCCCTACCAGAACCCTGCTGGCGGCGGCGCGCAGCACGGCGCGGGGCTGGCTCATGGCGCGGCTCCGCATCTACCCCGCCCCGGCGCGTCCGAGTCAGGGCACAAACCCCCGGCTGGGGCGGCTCGTGCGTCACAGCCCCGCAGCCAATGGTAGAAGAGGCCCCCGACGGTGCCGCCGCCATCTTGGTTGCGGGCGTGAAGGGGCGGTGGTGAGGCCGGGCGGCCGCCATTTTTCATGTGGGCAGAAGTGTTCCCTCATTGAAGCTGGCAGTTTTAGGGTCCCCGTCTCCGTCTTGGTCGCGCCCCTCACACACCCGTGGCTGGTCGTTACCTGTTTGTTCGCCGGCCGTACCCACATCAAAGATGGCGGGGAAACCCGATCCCTGCGGCCTCTTATCGCCTAGCAACGCGATGCAGTCAGGCGGGAGCCGCCTCCGGCGCGGAGACACGGGGAGGCCTTGGCACCGGGGTGGGGGGTGCAGAGGAAACAGGGGCTGAGGCCCCGGGGTCAGAGGATAGCGAGTGAGGTCACGGGTCAGAGGGCACTGGTGGCTTTAGGAGGGGGTCCGGGGTACTAGCAGTGACCACCCCTCGTGGTCGGCCCCATGGAGGAGGCGCTGGCGGGCGCCCCCGAGAGCTTCCCGCTCCACATCCTGGGGCTCGGCCAGGCACTGCCGGACGTGGAGCCCCCCTGTGAGACACAGCCGGGCGCGGCCGTTCTGCGGGACAGGGCACGGGAGCAGTGAGTGTCCCCTGGCTCCTCCTGCCTCGCCAGGCACAGGGCGATGGCTTCCCTGCCTCCTGCCGGATGCCTGAGGCTCTTTTCTTCAAGGCTCTTCTCCCCTCCCCATGCGTCTGGATGTTGGGGGCAACCAGGCTGCGTCATCATGGCCCTGCCTGTTCCCCTCCCTGGCGTGTGAGAGCCCTGAGCTGGCACATGCTGCGGGGTGATTGCAGCACCCTCCTCCTCCACCACCCCTTGGGGGAGGGCAGCAAGCTACCGAGTTAATTATTGGAGTGACCTGGGCAGGGGAAGTAGGTGTCATCTCCCAGGCCCGCGTGGGGAAAGCCAGTCCAAGCTCTTGGGAGGAATATGCTTTGGTGCCAGGTGACACATCTTCTCTTTGCAGCTCTTACCAAGGCATGCTGTTCTTCTCCCGGGGCGAGTGGGAGAAAGCTGTCATCTCCTACTCCAAAGCCATTAACCTGGACCCCCAGCAGGTAAGGCCTGCAGGGCCTTGCCAGGGGGAATGCAGAACGGGAGTATTCATGTGAAGGTGCGAGCTCCTGATGAGGCAGGGGCCACGGGGCACTTTGGGCCAAAGCCTGCAGTGCTCTTGTGTGTCTGAGGTGGTCTAATGGAGGGCAGAGCAGGGGGGTGAACGTCAGCCCTCATTCAGATCTGCTGGGGTGCAGGGCTGACCTCACCTGCCCAGGTAAAGGGTCAGTGGATCAAGGAGGAGGCCTGTCCCTCGGTGAAATGGAGGGCTCCTGCGCTGTACAGGAGGCTCAGGGTGGCTGTCTGGCCATGCTCATAGGTAGAGTTCTACGTGCAGAGAGCAGAAGCTTTTCTCCAGCTCTGTGACTTCCAGTCCACGGTGCTGAACCTCCGGAAGGCTCATTCCTTGTCCTCGCTGAAGGAAGAGTACCTCGACCGCATGGCCTTCATCCTCTGCCTGCAGGTGAGAGACCCAGGAGCCTTCTCTTGGCAGGCCTGATGCTTTCCGTGCTTCCATGGGGACAGGGGCTCTCGTGGCCCTGGGGGACAGCTGGGGATGCCTCTTGAAGTGCAAGACAAGGCAATCCTGTTTTTTAAGGAGAGCCAGTTGCTCATATCCCTTCAGCCACAGACCTTGCCTGGATATCTGCTGCGACCTGTTGAAACCTAGTCATCTGCAGCACAGGAAACGCCAGTGGAGCCTGTGCCTCTGCCAGGGAGGAGCTGTGTCTCTCCTCTAGCCTGGAGAGGTGCAGGCAGCCATGATCCTGCCCTCATGAACTGGGAGCAATGTACAGGTGCCTAGGGTCAGACCGATTCTGAGCTGTTTGTTTTGCACCTGTAGGGTCAGTGTTTGTTTGACCAGCAGGTCTACTGGGATGCTTTGGAGTCCTTCACTCAAGCCTCAGAGCTGCAGCCCAACAATGTGATATATCACAGGAAATGGTAAGGCCAGGATGGGAGTGGGGAGCAGAGGCGATCTTCTGCTGTGCTAGTGACTGCCTTCTTCTATGGGTTCCTAGTCCTATCCTCTCTTTCTCGCTGTAGTATTGCTTGCCTTGCTGCCCTGAACAGATTCTCTGATTGTCTGCACCTGGTTAACAGAGACCTGGATCGAGACCCCGAGAACCCAGACCTGTACACCCTGAGAGCCAGGCTGTATGACCACTTCAACAAGGTGGGGGAGGTATCTCGGCTGCCTAGGTCGTGCTGTGTGCAGGAGCTTCTTGTGGAAGAAAGGCTCTGAGCATGTGGCCCAGCCATGGCTGTACTGACTGGGGATGGAGCCATGCTTTGAAATTAACCCTTTGCTGGGTGAATTGATGGCTGCCTGAGTGGTGGGGGCATTGGTGTCCACACAAGGCTGTTTGAAGGACTGGCTCCTAAGGATATGCAAGAGCTCTGCTGCTCCATGTTTAATTGGACAACTTGGAGCTTTGGGCAAGGGCATAGAGGTGGTTAGCGGTATGAGACTGAAGGATACATGAGTCCTCAGTGCAGCTTGGTCCCCTGTGTTCCAGGTTCCTCTGTGCTACCAGGACATCCAGAAGGCCATGGCTCTGGAGCCACAGCATGAGGGAGCTCAGGCACTAATGCAGAAGCTATTGAAGCGAGGCCAGAAAGCCAAGGCTGAAGCTGTGAATAAGGCCCTAATGGGGGATCTGGGGGAAGCCATCCTCAAAATCAACTTTGCCTTGGAGAACAGCCCCCTGGAGGCTGAGTACTACACATTCAGGTAGAGCCCCCATTACTGCCTGCTGCTGCTAGATAGCCAGGGCAGTTTGACACAGCTGAGTTGGGTCCCCTGTGGCATTGGGGATGTGGGACCCATGGAAGGCAGAGGGAGCCTGACTGTTGGCCCCCTGCTGTTTGGCTCTAATGCCCCTCCATGCCCTTGTCTGTCTGTCTGTCTCTCTCTCCCTCCTTCCACGCCGTGGGACTCTCATGCCAGAGGGACTCTCTATAGAAGGCTCAAGGATTTCACTGCGGCCATTGATGATTACATAAGGGCTGTGGAACTAGTTGAGGTGGGGGGAGCAGCCAGCCTGGAGGTGCAGCACCAGCTCCTGCTCACCTACAATGACTTTGCAGTTCACTGCTACACCAGGGGCTGCTTTGAAGAGGCACTACTGCTTCTGAACAAGGCTCTGAAGGCAGATAAGAATGAAAAGGGGCTCTATGTCAACAGAGGAGGTAACAGGGCTGCTCCTGGGCTGGGTTGGGCGGGCCTGGGCTGTGGGAGGGCCTCAGAGGCAGCTTGGCTCATTTCTAAATGTCGCAACCTGGAAACATCCCCCTGGGGTGGGAGAGTGTGGTCAGGCCTGGGCAGAGTGGTGCAATAATACAGTCTGGCCATGGCACGCACACAGGAGGTGGTGTGGAGGCGGCCTGGAGCAGAATAGTCTAGGGAAACCATCTTGGAGGCCCTTGTTAGCTGGATGTTCATGTGGGTGGCAGACAGCTTTTCCCTCTAGGTTCTCTGTAAGGGAGGGGCGGTGCAGGCTTCTTCGGGGACTGGGAGTCAGGACTTCTGGGTTCCTTCCCTGCCCTTGTCACCGCTTCCCCAAGGGTGATGTAGTCAGTCCGTTGCTTTGCTCCCCCGTGCCTGTGTCTTTGGCTTTAAACGTGATGGCCCTGGTAGAGGGGCCAGGAAGACAAGGCAGTGTTTGTGAGGTGCTTTGGAAGCAGGAAGGGCTCCATAACTGCGAAGTAGTGGCAGCTGTGAATGACCCATTGCTGATGGACTCGGGTTAACACCATGTGGCTGGGGATAACCCCAAGCCTGTTCAGCCCTGTTGTGGGGTCACCCAGGCTCATTCCAGGGTGGAAGCTGTGTTTTGCCTCCCTGAACCCTCTGTGGCTGGTTGTGTTGATTCATCCCATCCTGTTAGCCTGCTCAGCCATGCTGGGTGCTGCTGGCCAGCTGCCAGAGCTGGCTGAAGCACACATGGTTTGTCCAGTGGGTTGGGCTGGGAGGCGTGATCCACTATGGCCTTAATGTGTTTCCTATTGGTTTGGAGCTCCCCAGACTGAGCAGTTGGGCAGCAGCAGTCCCCAGCCTCTCAGCCTGTGCAGGAACTAGATGGAGCCAAGATGCTTGGACACTGCCCTGTCCTTTGCTCAGAAGCTGTCCTGCTCCTCTGCAGACTGCCTCTTCCAGCTGGGGGAGCTCTCCTATGCCTTGGCCGACTACCAGCAGGCACTGGAGCTGAGCCCATGGGACACGAGCCTGCAGCGCCGCGTTTCCATGCTGTTGGACAAGCTGGGGATGCGGGAACTCAGGAGGAGGTGTGTAGCTGTGGCTTCACCTTCCCTTCCCTTCCCCGCAGCATAGTGGCTCTGCAAAGCCAACTCTGCCCCACAGGCGGTACCAGCAGGCCGAGTCGTACTTCTCCAATGCCATTGACTGCGACCCTCGTCTGCCGCAGTACTTTCTGCACCGGGCCAAGAGCCGCTTGGGCCTGCAGGAGGTGATGGGTGCCAAGGAGGATGTTGCTATGGCGCTGTTGTTGGACCCTGCAGATGAGGAGGTACCACCCTAAGCCTGCTGGCTGGGGCAGTCATGGCCAGGCAGGGGAGATATGTTTGCACCTGGCTTGCCCCTTCTCTGAACTCTTCCATTTAGGTGCTAAGTGGGGCTGGGCTGTCTTTCTCTTCCATGTTTGTACAGCATGTAGAGTGGTGGGGGGTTCTTTGATGTGCTCAGGGTCCCTCAGGCACTACCACAATACTTGTAACTAGGACTGGAGCCTTGCAGCAGTTTGTTGAAATAATAAACACTGGTGAAAGAGGTTTTCTGCTACTGAATGTAAAGCTGCAAAGCCCTGTCCTGCCATGGGCAGCTTTGTCTGCTGGGGCCCCTGTGGCAAGGGGTGGCTGTTGGGAAAATGAACCCAGCCCAGAGTGGAAGGGTGAGACCCCTCACCCACCCCCTCAGTCCCCATCAGTGTCACTCCAACCCAACTGACTCTGCTCTGCAGGGAGGGCAGGTTCCTTTTCCCTGATGGATCTTGATGGAGTAAATGAGAAACAGACTCTGCACTTGAGTGGGATTTCACTGGGCCTGAGCAGTTCCTTCCAGGCCACCCTTGCTGTGGGGTCACGCTGTTGAGCAGGGCTGGCTGGGAGCAGCCTGGCTGTATCCTGAGATCTGCCCCGAGCATGGGAGAGGCAGAGCTGTGCCTGTCAGTGCCTGCTGTTGTGCCATTCACTTCTGCCCTTTCCCTGCTGCAGGCTGTGCTTCTTATCACCAGCCTCTTCCCAGGAAAGTCTGTCCAGAGCATCTTGAGCAGTAAGGTCGGGGACCTTGCGAGAGCCCTGTTGGAGGCAAAGCTTCAGGCCTGCCCAGTGGACCAGAACCCTGCCAAGGCCCCCTGGTATGAAGCAGGCAGTAGGTGGGCACTGGGGGACTGGGCATGGTGTGGGGGCTGCTGGAATTGCTGCTGATGGCTGTTGACAGTATTGGGGCTGGAGAACCTGGGAGTTGAGGGCAGAAACCCCTCAATCCCACTACAAGCAGATGTCTAGCCTTGGAGGGAAGGTGCTAGGGTCCCAGAGACACACTGGGGCAGTTGCCTTCCCCTCACTGCGTGGAGATATCCATGCATTTCCTTTGCCAGGGCTCTGCAGCGAGTCATTGGCTTTGTGTCCCCCCTCCCAGTTCCCTGGTAGACCTGGAGGATGAGCTGAAAGAACCAGGCACTGGGAGTGAAGTGGCAGAGCAGCCTGGTAGCATCCTGTGGCATGCAGAGAACAGCCTCAGCTCCTGTACAACTGAGCATAAGTTGTACAGGAAAAGGTTTGCTTCTGGAAGCAGCACGAGCAGAGTAAGTGCCCCCACTTTGTAAGGGAAGGGGGAGAAGCAGGAAGTGAGTGCCAAGGCCTCATGGCATATAGCAACCCAGGGGCCACAGCCAGCAGAGGGGTACTCAGTTTACCCCTGCCCAGAATAGACTGTGTGACTAAGAGGTGGGTCCTGTCTCTTTATGTGTCTCAGGGAAATGGAAAGGACTCTACCCTGTGCTGGGTGCAGGTCCAGTCTGCTCAGGAGGCTGGGACTCGCCTCAGCCAAGCCCCTTCTCTAGGCATCACTGTCTGCAAAGCACCACCCTGGGAAACGGGCCCTGCTCCCCTGCCAGAGGTGAGCATGGACAAAGTGCCCTGCCCATGGGGGGGCAGAATCCAGTTCACGGACCTGGAAGGGGCCGAAGCGCACCCTGGGCCATGCCCCACTTGAGGGGCCTGCCTTCAATAGGCAACTTGCTTTTAGTCCTGTGCTTGCACTGGGAGCGAGTCTGAGGGCACCAGCATCAGCTCCTCCATGTGCAGCTGCACCTGCCTGTCCACCCCAGCTCAGCACCTTGCCTGGCTTTATGGGTTGACAGGGGTGGGGGAAGATGCTGCTAAAGCCTACACCAAGAAAAGTAAGGGGCAACCTGCTTAACAAGGAGCCTGTTAGTTTCACCTCAAACTGCAAGGCTGAGCTGGAGAGAAGTGACAGCCGCAAAGTCCTCCCTCCTTGCAGGAGGAAGTTCTGCTGGGGCCTTCTGATTGCAGGGGGAAGGGAGGGCCATGCTGCTGCAACCTGCCTGCCCTGCTGTCCCCTATCCCCTGAGCATTGTCCAGGCAGTTTCATGGATTTTAAACAAAAGGATGCAAGTGGCAGAGGGGGCAGCTGTGGCTTCACTAGGTCCTACCCTGGATGGCTGTGGTCAAGTAGAACAGCGATGCCCCTCTCACTGGAATCTGTTGGCCTCTCAAACCCCTTTCCTGTTATCCAAGCAGACACTGGGCATCTCTCCCTGCTCCTGTCCAACCTCATTCTGCCGTGGCAGGCAGCTGTTCCAGCCTGTTACATGGCTGCTTAATATGTCCTGTCTGCCCTGCCAGCTCCAGTCTAAAGGAGTGACAGTGAAGCCAGGCCAGTTTCTTGATGAGATTTATTTTAAATGAAGACCAGCGAACATTTCTGGAAGAGGCAGAATGTGTAACTGTAAACCAGGATCTTGGTCCAACTGCAGCTTGGGTGGGATCCCATTAGAGGCTCACAGTGCTGGCTCCTGCCTCTGCTCGAGGGAGCCGAATACCAGTGAGACTGGAGTGCTGCTGCACTACAGTGTTGAAGACACCTGGGGTCTATGGGTGCAGGCCTGGCACTCAACTCCCACCTTGCACATGCACCCACCCACAGACCTGTCAGCCCCAGCTCCCAGCCTGAGCAGTTTCCCCTTTCTCTGAAGTCCAGTTTACCACTTCCCAGTGGGGAGCAAAGGCCAGTGGGCATCAGGTAAGGGTCAGTGGCACTGTCCTGGGCAGTGCTGAGAAGGGAGCTACTGTTTGCTCTCCCTTCCATGCCTGACAGCACTGGCACTGCTACGCTGAGTGGCAGCAGCTCTGCCAGGGCCAGCAGGCAGCCAGCAGGGGCCTGGATACCAGAGACCCTGCTTGCCTGGATGTGCAGTAAGTTCATCAGCTCTGCGCAGCATGGACGAGGCGGGGTAAAGACTCGCCCTAGTCATGGACGGAAGCACAGTAACGTTCCTGGGGGGACTTTATAACCAGGAGTGGATGCTCGCTCCGTCTGGGAGGTAGGAACTGCTGCTCTGCGAGGGGGAGACACTTGCCTGTACAGCCCTTGATGCTTCCCAGGGTGGCCACCGGCCCAGTGCCTGCACAGGGAGATTCTATGTCCTGGGAGGGGACGCTCCCCAAGTTGCATGTTCTTCCCTCTGTGCCCCCTACCTGGTACAGCTGAGGAGACTGTGACTGAGACCCAGCAGTGTGTTCACAGTGAGAACCCGAGAACACCCAGCTCAAACGTGTGCTCCAGAGACCGAAGATATGACGGAGCCCTGACGCGAACAAGAGCAGCGCTACAGGGTTCTGACATCAGCACTCACTGTCCAGGGAATCACGACTGAGGCTCAGCTTAAAATAAGGGTTAAAAATCCCATTAAAAACCACAGAAGGGCAGGACTCCTTTCCCTGCAGCCCAGCACAGCTGGGCTAGGATTGACCAGGAGGGCAGGCTGCCTGGTCCTAGCTCTGGAAGAAAGGTGGCAGCCATGAAAGCGCCTTCCTAGTTCTTGCAGCGCACCCCTTCGAGCACATCATGAGCATACCTGGCCAGTCTGTCATTGCCTTCCAGGGCAAAGAATCAGCTGATAAAGTGCTGTAGGTCAAGTCATTTGCCTTTTGCTCCCCCCATCTGGCTCCGCGGGGCTGGTGGAAGAGGGATGCGCACAGCTGGTAGTGCTTGCATCAGTTGTGCTGTCTGCGCTCTGGGCCCATCCTTATGTTACTGGGCCCAGCAGCTGCTCCAGGTTACCTCCGGGGAGTTGGAGCCAAGGGGCAAGCAGACTTCCTACCAGCCAATGACCTGGAGCCACTGCACACTCCCTTGGCAGGACAGTCCTTGCGTTAGAGGAAGAAGTTGATGCGCGAGGCCACAGTTTTGCAGCCAGTGGATGAGAAGACCTGCTCTTCCTCGGGGAAGTAGGACATGCTGTCGGACACTTCCTGCACCACTGCCGGTGATTCCTCCAAGCCCAGCTGGGCCAGCTCGTTCACCACGCACTGCTTCACGTGGTGCCGCCTCAGTGGGAAGAAAGGCACGAAGACATCAATGAGCTGCTCCTGGATGATTTCAGACTTCCAGAACCCATCTGCAGGGGAAGAGGGAGAGGCCAAGGGGCTCTGACCCAAGAGCATCTCTGCCCATGGAGTGCTGCCCTATGGGCAAGGAGAGGCCCCCACCAACCAGGAGGAATTTCTATATGCCTGTGGTGCCCTGACTACAGACAGATGCATCTGTTCTGGATTCAGCTTAAGAGGAGGCAGAGCCACATCCTTCCCCAGAACAACTCCATGCTCTCCAAGTCCTGCAGTTCCCATCCCAAGCGCTGACACTTCAGGCTCCCCCTCTTCCTCCCCACCTCTCTGAGGCCCAATCCTGAGGGACGAGCACCAAGCAGTGCAGCCACAGTGAGCTTCAGGTGCTCAGTGCCTCTCAGGATCAGCCTCTCAATTAAATTTCTCCTGAGCACTGCCTGCCTCCTACTGAACTCCTTCCAAGGGAGCTGCTGGCTCTCATGTGCCAGATTGGCCTACTCAGCTCTCATTTCCATCTCCCTGATAATTTCTACCAGGCCCACACATCTCAGAAGCCAAAGATCTGATGACTCAAGGTGTGGTCTAGCGCCCCCCGCTGGTGCCAACATGCACGGAAAAGCCAACTCACTGTCCGGATTTTCAAACACAGCTTTGGAAATGGCAAATTCCAGCTCCGGCAGGTTGATCTCCTCTGGGTCCTTGCGGGCACGCCACAGTTCCAGCGCCATCTGATTGATCTGCTCCTCTCCCGCATTGCTGAGTGACAGCAGCCAGAAGTGCAAGGCAAGAAGTTAAGAGAGATATTCCCATAATCCCAGAAGTGGTGCTGCACTGCAGAGGCCGTGCTGTGAGTGACAGCATCTGGGAGCAGCCTCTGTCCTGCCTGCCTAGCCTGTGAGAAGTTACCAGACAGTGGCAAAAGCAAAGCCCCATTAGACCTTGCACCTTGGGTTACTAAGGTGAGCTCAGGCCTGACAGGAGGTAAAACCCTGGGCTGCTTCATTCAAACAGGGAGGAAGGTGCCCTTATGTCACCAGAGCAATGGCACAGCATTCAAATGCTCCCCCGCCCAGTCAGACTGGGCTCTCCTACCTGATGAAAATGAAGATGGCTTTGCGGTAGTTGGTTCCAAACACAACCCATGAGGGCCCCAGGAACGGCTTGATGACGTCGATGAGCCCCGGGTACATCTTATCCATCTCGTCAAAGAGGAACACCGAGCGGCCGCAGCTTGTCAAGTTCCCCTGGATCCAATTCTTTAGATTTTCCTGCAGAAGATTTTTTTTCCAAGAGCTTGTGGTGGAGCCTGAGTTACCACGGAGCAAAGTATATGTGGATTCCTCAGCTTGGGTCTACAATGTCAGGAGCTTTAATCATCTCATTACAAACCATTTAGGGAGGAGACACCAAGGGTGCACTGAACTGAAAATCAGGAGAGGTTTAATACTCCAACTCCAGCAGCAAACCTATCCCGCTGCCCTCTTGTCCCTCGCGGAGTGGCAGAGAGCTGCCCTTTCAGCTCTGGAAGGGCTGGGGGGTGACAAGACTGCCAAAGCCAGGGCTGGGAGCCGAGCCACGGTTTACACCGTTCTCCAGTTTAACGTGTGTGTCCTCTCCTCCTTCCTCTCTGAAGCGCTTCTCCAGGAGGGAGCTGTGCAGAGACAACGGGGCTGCCAAAGTCTCCTCCAACTCCAGAGGGGACAGGCCAGCAGCTCGATGCGGGGCTGTGCCCAGTGCGGAGGGGAGCGCCCTAGGAGGCGGCTGGCTGGGGACCCGGGGTCGGTAGGCGAGCGCTCCTCACCCAGGAGCGGGAGGCGAGACTAGATGCAGGGGTCCCGCGCACACGCGAGGCGGGCTGTGCTTTAAGGGCGACAAGCGGAGGTACCTGGTGTCGCGGCAGGCGCTCGGGGCCGTGCGGGAAGTGCAGCGCGGGCGCGAAGCGGTGCACGTGGGCGTTGCGGGCGCCGTCGGCGAAGAGGGCGCGGAGCAGCGCGGCGCTCAGCAGGGTCTTGCCGGTGCCGCTGCCCCCGTGCAGCGACAGCACGAGCGGCTTGGCGGGCGCCGGGTCCCACGCGAAGCGGCGCAG